AAATAGATTACTTATAATTTTAAATAATAAAAAAAGAAAAGAAATTAACAAAACAAATTATTTTTTAATATACTTAATATTATTATAATTATACTACTTATAATTAATCTTTTAATAATAAAAAAAATTAACTAAACAAGTTATTTTAATCATACTTGATATTATTTTAATTATACTACTTATGATAAAAAAATTAATATAAAAAAAAAAATAAATTAACTAAACAAATTATTTCTAATTTATACTGAATATTATTATAATTGTACTACTTATAATTAATTTTTTAATAATAAAAAATAAATTAACTAAACAAGTTATTTTTAATTATACTTAATAGTATTTTTAATTATACTACTTATAATAAAAATAATAATAATAATAATAATAATAAAAAATTAGCTGAACAAGTCATGTATAATTATACTTAATATTATTATAATTATACTACTTATAATTATATTTTTAATAATAAAAAAGAAATTAACTAAATAAATTATTGTGCCTTATACTTAATATTAGTTTTCATTATACAACTTATGATTATTTTTTAATAATAAAAAAATAAATTAACTAAATAAATTTCATTATACGTAATATTATTAAAAGTTTAATTATAAGTAGTCTATTTTAAATTTCTAATTATTTTTCAGCCCCCAAAAAAATTAAAAATTTAATTTTCGCCCCAAAATAGTGTTTTCCGTTACTTGCTAACGGACATGTAACGGCGGGGACAAAAAGCGTTCAAAATTGAAATTTGGAGGTGAACTTTGTTCACTTTGAAACAAGGGGGACCAAAAGTGAAATCGGGCCAAACATGAGGGACCAAAAGTGTAATTATCCCTATTCAAGATATGAAAAACAAATACGAATCAACCCATGGTTCGCTGGAACGAAACAGTGCATTGTCGCGGACACTGCCGTTCAAGTTCCGTTGCAACGTCGAGGCTGCGTCGCGGCTGGAACGGACACATTTTAATTAAAATACGAAAAATTAGAATTAATGTCAAACAAGTTTTTAATATTAATATCACGGTAGAATAATATACAAACTATCATTAAAACTCCAATTTTTTTAGAACAATTTTTGAAACCTTAAGAAGTAGAATTAAGGGTGAAAATGTAAGTTATGAAAATATCTCTTTACATAGGAGAAATAAAAAACAATTTGGACTAAATTGCAAATTTTGCAAACTTAAAAAACCTACTCTTAATCATTGACACGTCGTTCCCTAACCCCAAATCAAACTACATTTAGAGTGTTGGAGCTAATTGTAATTTTTTTAAACTCTTAATTAAAATTTAAAACACTAGTTTGAGATCCTTAAATCGTAGTTGGAGACCTGAAAAAGTAAATTATGATAATTCATATCATTCCAATCCTGTTCCATTACGCGTGACAACCACGACCATCCGATTTATTGCCATGTCCTGGTGTTCTAGCTGTTTTTTGCCCGTTTGGCAACGTTTTTTGTTGTGGAACGGTTTGGTTATGGTTTCCGGAACGGAGGGCACCGTTCCCATTCCGTTCCGGCGAACCATGAATCAACCTGATTCAAATAAAATTTACCAAACCCTAGTTTTCCCTCTTCTCCTTCATTTTTCCTCCTTTCTAGGGTCTTCTCTATAATTACACGTCTCACTTATAAAAGAAAACCCATTATATTTCTAATATAAACTTTTAATTAAGCCCACTGATTATAATACGAATTACAAAAATATCCCCGATTAATAATTATGAAACCCAATAATACTTTTTTACTCATAGGGTGTTCAATAATCCACTATACACTATTATATAATAAATAAATTAAAATAAAATTGTAGAAAATTACAAGTAATGCGGGCATTCTAATTGTTTACTATACCCATTTGGCTGCAGATTCGATAAATATGTATATTTAGACTCTTTGGTTGAAGGATTTAAAAAACGAAAATAGTGCGACAAAGGAAAAAAAAAAAACCGAAAAGAAACAAAAATGAAGCTTGTTTTTTATGGAAAGCAATGAGGACATTATCATTTTCTTGGGGCTTTTCTCTCATTTCCCCTTTGTCAGAAACACAGTTTTCCTCAATTAAAATAATTTTGCTGCAAGTTTTCTTTTCTTTAGTATCTTCCTCTACCATTTTTGTTTCGATTTCCAATTTTTTCGAAAAAATCGGAATCGGAATCGGAAATTGATATAAAATCGAATTTATGAATTCCGATCCTAAAATAATTCTGAATATTTCCGAATTTTTCCGAGTAATTCCGAAAATTTCCAACATTTTATATATTTATAATAATAATAAAACACACACACACACACACACACACACACACACACACACACACACACACATATATATATATATATATATATAACATATTTTTATACTTAAAATAAGGCCACTATAATTTTCTGATTTTGGGCTGAGCCAGTGGCGTATTTTTATACTTAAAATAAGGCCACTATACTTATATGATATATACTATTAACTGTGAAAATCTTACAACATTGTTCTTGTAGTTCAAGTGGCAAGGCGCGTTCACTACATTACATGCTGCCAGGGTTCGATTCCCCATTCTGATTTTATGGTTTTTTTTCTTTCTAATTTTCAAGAAATGCACATTTTTGTACCCTACAACTCTAATTTCTTTAATATTTTCATCAATTTTTTCTCTAAATATTTCTAAATTTTCTTAAAATTTGCAAATAATTTTTTTTTTAATTTTAATTTTTTTACCTATTTGTATTGTTTTGAGCTTATACTACTAAAAAAAAGTTCGGGGGCGTTGTCCCCCAACTCCCGGAATTTGTCCGTCCATCATATTTATTAAATATTATTTAATTTTTTTTTATTATATTCACTTTCGAACACCCTTGGAGGAAATCCTGGATTCGCCACTGGGCTGAGCCATAATTATTTATTTTACAATATTGACATTTTTAACCCATATAATTCGGCCCATTTTTAGTTACTATTACCCTTCTTTCATGTTAAATCCTAATTCTCATTTACTACTTTGCTGTTGGCAGCGCCACTGCATCTTTGCTTTCTTTCCTTTTCTAACCTAATTCAGCAACTCCGTCGGTCTGTCGCTCTTTGTGAAGTCGTCGCTCCTTGTGTATTGACTATCTCTTTGCTTTCTAATCTAATACATGTGATACGCTCCGCGATCTCCTCGTGAAGCCGACGGTCGCACCTTGTGTATTTGTTTTCTTCTATTTCTTCATTGCAAAAGTTTTTTCTCTTCAATCAAGGATTTTCTTCCTTGCAAACCTTGTGGGATTTTTTTTGTTTCTTTTAAATCCGTAAAAAAATCCGAAAATATTCGAAAAAATCGGATTCGGAATCGAAAATGGTTTTTCCGAAAGGACCATTTCCGATCTGATCCGTCCGATTTACGCCCCTACATGTGTTGATATAGTAAAATTCTTCTAGGTATTTTCCTTTTAAAGATATGTGTATCTAGTCAACATCTCTCATGATCGACGTTTCCTTCCATTATTTTATCTTATCTTCTTTCATTGTATAATTTATCTTCTTTCATTATTTGGTATAAAAGATATATTTGAATCCACGTCTTTAACGACTCCTCTATCGTACGTTCGGCCTATTACGCGCTTTCCTCCCATGCGTAAGAACATATTCCGTAATGGTGACCTTTACTTCTTGACGAGCATGCCGCTCGGCCTCCCTCTAAAAGAAAACTCTCAAGCCCATCCATAATGCTTATTGGGGTGACCAACTCCCTTGGGCTTTCATCTTCATTATTTCATCACTCCCCTAAACCTAAATAGCCTAAACCATAAAATCTCATTCATTTCAAGGTTGTCCTTCATCTATTTTTCTATATAGTTTCTTGCTTGTTTATTGGGTGAATTGCATTATAATTGCACCCTGAAAACGACAGTGATTGACAATTTGCACTCTGAAAATGTTGAATTAGCAAAATTCACCCGCAATTTATATAACTCATGGCATATTGCACAATTTTCATGTCATTTTAACCAAAAAATCAAATGAATCACTATATCTTAAATTTTTAAGTGATTTGTATTCTTGAAGGTATTTTTTTATTTCATATTTTGTACTTTTAAATTATTATTTTGCTCGTAAGCTAGATAAAAAGTAAAAAAATAATAACTTGTGATTTTATTTTATTAGTCGAGTTGAACTTAAAATTATATGTACTACATAATATTTTTCTCCTTTGAATTTGAAAGATCAAAAAATAATCCCATTAAAAAAATCAATTATTATGTATTTATATTATGTGTATTGTGGTTACTTACTTTATTCTAATCTTTTTTTTCAATAATTTAATTAATGATTGTCTACATTATGTCATTTTAATATCTTAACTACATTTCTTGTCAAAATAAATTGAAACTTAAAAAAATTATCAATTAATTTTTTGATTTTTTTTGTAAATTGGAACTGATATTCAGATGTTCAACTTTTTGAAATAAAAATTGGAAATCATCTTACACTATAAAAAGAAAAAAACTGAAAACCCTAATTATATTTATTCAATCAACTAGTTTCGATCAATTACTCCGTTTCTGAATTAAAACAATTCAAATCCAATAAAGTAAGATTATATATATATATTTTTTAATAAATTAATATTTAAAATATTTAAAATTTTAGAGTTTTTAAAAATATTTTATAAAATTAAAAGTTGATCAAATTAGAATTTTGAGAATTTTTGATATAATTTTGACTGCGATTAAAAAAACTAAAAACAAAAATCATCTGTTACATTTGCTTTTTATTTATAATAAAATAATTTAGAATCTAAAGTAAGAAAATATAAAAGACAGCAAGAAAGAAACTTCAAAATCCAAAATATCATGATATATTGAGTTTATTTTATTCACATCTCACTTGAAATTGATATATAATGCATTTTGCAATGAAATACATCATTTTAGGGTGGACTTTGCCATCTTTAAGATTATAGGGTGTAAAGCATCATTTTTTATACAATTTTTAGCATAAAAAAATGTAAATAAATAAACAGGAAGAATGATGGCAACTACAAAAGGACCGTAATCGCCTGCTTCGTACAAGCAGTCTACGTACTCGAACACGACAGGCGAGAAAAGAGAACCGATAAAGACGATGCCGTAGCTCCTGAATGGTGGACCCCCTTCAAGTACAAACTAGTCGAAACCCTAATCGACCAAAGAGACGGTTCCATATTCGGTGCAATATTCAAGTGGGACCGATCAGCCGCACTGTCGAGCTTTGGAATTCGACCTAGTGGTGCACCGAAGGCCGTTTTAGCTCTCAGAGGGACCCTTCTCAAGGGCCCCACAATCATACGGGATTTCGGAGATGACTTACGTTTCTTTACATGGGAAACCCTAGAAGGGTCCGTTCGATTCGCCTCTACTCTCAAGGCTTTGAAAAGAATTTCCGGAAAATACGGGAGCACCAATGTATGTATCGCGGGACATTCTTTAGGAGCGGGATTCGCTCTACAAGTGGGAAAATCGTTGGTTCAAGAAGGGATTTTTGTGGAGGCGCATTTGTTCAATCCACCCTCGGTTTCGTTAGCTTTGGGCTTAAAAACTTTGGTGGAGAAAGCTTCGATAATGTTGAAGAAGATTGTTAGATCAATTATGTTTACTTCGAGTAGCGCAAATTCGTCGTCCGATTCTGATGGGCGAGGGGAATCTTCGACGATGTTGGGGTCAAAGGGGTGGTCCCCGAATTTGTACGTGAATAATAGCGACTATATTTGTTGTCATTATATCGATCCGGAGAAGCCCAAAAACAGAGATGGTGATAAGGAGAATGTTAAAGCTGGGACGATGAATAATTGTGCGGCGAAGCTATTTGTGTTTTCGAAGGAGAAACAAAAGTTTATAGAAGCACATGGATTGGAGCAGTGGTGGTCTGATGATAACTTTGGAATTAAAGAGTTTGTGAATAAAAGTAAGCTTATCTGTACGCAGTTGAAGTGATTGTATAGCTCTCGATCTTCTACATTTGTTTTTTTTTTTTTTTTTTTTTGAATTTGAATATAAATGAAAAATGATAAGACAATAACACCAGTTCCTAGTTGTAGACTTGTAGTAGTACTGTTTGAATTGTGATTGGACGTTGTCAGCATTCTTGTTTGGCTTTGTATGAATATATGTTTCTATTTTGTGATTCATAGACCTACAACTTATCAATTACTAGGCCCTTGGGCCACGGACTTGCTTATACTTTTTTCATGCTCTGTAAATTATAGCTTACAACCCATGCGGAAATTGCAGCTGCGCGATTTTCCCATCATAAAAACATTAGCAAAGAACCCCGTGTTAATTTTTAGGATACACACTCGACCCATTTATCTTTTGTTCGTTGACCAGCTATGAGAAGACGAAAATGCCCTTCCGTTATTAACAAGGGACTGAATTGCAATTGTCCGGTACATCTTTTGTTCTTTTCTGGCAGCTTCTTTCCGGTACATCTTGATCCCAGAATCTTGGCGAAGGCGTACCATTCATTGGTGAGCTCCGGCGAGCTGGTGAAGAGGGTAGACTTCTGATGATGCTAATTACTTAGATCACCTAGGGTAGTGTAGAAAACGAGCTGGGAGAGCAAAACTGATTAGTAGCTTGACAACTTGATGATCCTGATGTCCCTGCAAAATGAGCACACGTGAACTACGCCGGGAGTTGATCCGGCGGAAACCCCTCCGACGCTCAAGTCAGATGTACGGATCGTGGAAAATCGTAGAGAGTCAGAGAATCAAACTCTAGATTACTTGTGAATAATAGAACCTACCTTAAGGAATGAATTCAAACCTTTATTTATAGTGTAGTTGAGATTTTCGGGCCCAAACCTTACTTGAAGGTGATTGGGCCTCGGTGATAGCGGTCTTCAATATTGGGCTTGTGGCCCAGTAGGTAAATAATTTGTAGGCCCATTGGGTTGGCCCAATTAGGCATATCATTAAGCCCCCCACTCTCGAGTCGATGTGGGGGCCATGTCGAAATGGGTTCTCGATCGTGTCGAGAGTAAAAATTGCAGTGGTCTTTCTTTGGCATATGGCCTGATGGTGTGCGAAAACACGTTGTGTGTCGGAGGGGCGTGAAGGCGTGTTGGCGCGTAGCGCGACCAAGTTGTCGAAAACGAGCTGGGAGAGCAAAGCTGATCAGTAGCTTGACAACTTGATGATCCTGAGGTCCCTGCGAAATGAGCACACGTGAGCTACGCCGGGGGTTGATCCGGCGGAAACCCCTCCGACGCTCAATTTAGATGTACGGATCGTGGAAAATCGTAGAGAGAATCAAACTCTAGATTACTTGTGAATAATAGAACCTACCTTAAGGAATGAATTCAAACCTTTATTTATAGCGTAGTTGAGATTTTCGGGCCCAAACCTTACTTGAAGGTGATTGGGCCTCGGTGATAGCGGTCTTCAATATTGGGCTTGTGGCCCAGTAGGTAAATAATTTGTAGGCCCATTGGGTTGGCCCAATTAGGCATATCATTAAGCCCCCCACTCTCGAGTCGATGTGGGGGCCATGTCGGAATGGATTCCAGATCGTGTTGAGAGTATAAATTGTAGTAGTCGCTCGTTGGTGTATGGTCTGATGGTGAGCGAAAACGCGGTGGAGCGTGTGTCGGAGGGGCGTGAAGGCGCGTAGCACAACTAAGTTGTCGTGATATAAGTTACTTGAGTCGTCGGTGTTGTCCCGCGACGATGTAGTAGTGAATTATCTCCTCGTGGGAGTTGTCTCGTCGCGGGGTAATGGAGTTGATCGAGTTATCTCCTCGTGGGAGTTGTCTCGTGATAATGTAGTAGCACGGATCAAGTAATCTCCTCATGAGAGTTGTTATTTATTGACATTGTCAATGTTTTGACGAGTTGCTCGTATGTGTTTACACATAGCCTTGTGCGTGATGTACTTGAATAGGGGATCAAGCTCTCAAGATTTTTTTTTTTTTTTTATGGGGATCGTGCCCCTTGTGAGACCTCGTAGGTTGTAAGTATGTTTGAGTAATCAAGCTGGCCAGGCTATATAGATTCCCATAATATCTCTAAGTGTTTCTAAGGTTGTAATCGTGCTAACTTGAGCTTGCGATTGTGTAGTGAATTGCGAGTGAGTTGTCTCCTCGAGATAGTTGTCTTGCAGCGAAGTTGTAGGAGCATTGGATGACGCGCGACTGAGGAGCGTGCGGATTGAGGTCGCTCTAAGCGAGTTGTCTCCTCGTGGGATTTGTCTCGCAGCGAGTCTTATTATCGAGCGAGGTGGGTGCACGTGGGAGTTGCCTTGCAACGGATTTGTAGCGCCGAGCGAGTTGGCTCCTCGTGGGAGTTGTCCCGCTGCGGGTTGTGGTACCGAGCGAGTTGGCTCCTCGTAAGAGTTGTCTCGCTGCGGGTTCGTAGTACCGAGCGAGTTGGCTCCGCGTGGGAGTTGTCTCGCTGCGGGTTGTAGCACCGAGCGAGTTGGCTCCTCTTGGGAGTTGCCTCGCAACGGGTTGTAGGACGGAGCGGATGGTCTCCTCATGGGAGTTATCGCGCTGTGGTTTCATAGACCTGAGGGAGTTGGCTCCTCGTGGGAGTTGCCTTGCAACGGGTTATATGACCGAGCGAGTTATCTCCTAGTGGGAGTCTTGCAAGCTCCCCACTCTCGATTCGATGTGGTAGCCAAGTCGAAAAGGATACCGGATCGTGTCGAGAGTAGATCGGTACTGTGGTGTACCATTAATTGTTGGCGTGGTGTGGAGAAATAATAATTTTTATTTATCCATTTGGGAGCGTGCGTGATTTGATAAGGTGCGTTGGAGAGATCGCGCAATTTGGTGGAGCGCGTTGAAATTCTCGTGCAATTTGGTGAAGCGCGTCAAAATCTACGCGCAATTTGGTGGAGAGTGGTGAAAGTTCCGCGCGATTTGATGGGAGCGCGCGCTCCAATGTGGCCTTGGGAGGCGCGCGCGCGTGCATGGGAAGGCGCGCGCGCAGGTTCTGCCACCCCCCAGGCGCGTGTGAGCACGCGTTTCGCTTTAATTATATATATATATATATATATATATATATATATATATATATATATATATATTTTTATTTTTTTTTGTCTGATGGCACGCGCGCGTGCTGTGCACGCGCGTCTTCTCCTCTTTTTTTTTTTTTTTTCTAATGACACGCGCGCGTCTGGCGCGTGTGCGACACGCGCGCGTGCTCCAGAGAATACAGTTGTAATATTGCTCAGTGAATAGGACGTCTGACTTGAGCGTCGGAGGGGTATCCGCCGGATCAACCCCCGGCTTAGTTCATGTGTTCTATGATCGCAGGTATCTCAAGGTCATCAAGCTCGTGAGCCAGTGATCCACTCTGCTCTTCCAGTTCATCTTACTTCAACTCTCTAAGGTGATCTATCTTTAGCATCATCAACTCCGGTATGAGTGAGGGAGGAATTTGAGTAAAGATGACTGCACAAAGTCGGACAGGTGATGAAGATGACGCGGAAAGAAGAAGAAGAAAGAGAAAGAAATAAAAGATGTTGGGGGTATTTCTGTCATTAGAGACAACAAAAACGTAAAAACAATTGCACGACCCGCGAGTGAGATCCACAATCTGCTCCAAATGAGGTTTTCGCCTTTGATTAAAAAGTATGGGTGGGGGTATGTGTCGTCTCGGTGACGGAGGAAATGCTCGAGTACCAAATGGCATGTAGGTGATTGGGTTATTTGAGAACTCGTTCGATCCTTGGACCTTAATCTTTCGTGGTAGATATGATTAATTGTCTTGCCTAGATATGTTTATATGTTATTGCTCCATTTGTTTATGCCTCTCCCTTGTAGGTGCGAAGATGAATTATGCCGAGTTAAAGAAGTATCGTGCAAAAGGAGCGGCGGAGGTGGCGAAAGCCGGTCATGGGACCGGTTTGGCAATTTCGGCCGCTCGGTGTCTGAAACCGTCGGTGGGTCGAGGCACGGATAGCCGAAGAGGTTTGGTTGATCTCTTTAACCATTGTCAAAATTTGACCGATGGTGTGGGAGGGTTTAGAGGCATTTCAGCGGTGGACGCGGCGGATGGTTGGTCGGGGAGTAGTAGTCGGCAGACGACTCCTAGCGTTGCTCGGTAGGGGTCTTCCAATCTCATATGTCCCTCACCGATCATTATTGCGAAGAGGAAGAGTGAAAGACTTTTATTTAATTTTATGCGGAAAACTTTAATCACAGAATCTTGAAATTAAATTCATCTTAAGAATATAATCACGTAATAGAGATTATCGACATACCGTTCGCCATGGATTCCGATAGAGATGATGAATGATAGCAATCTACAAGCCGAGCCTAGCCAGGCCTCCTTCGATTCTCCTCGAGAACTTTATTCGTAGCACACCTTCTTCTCTCTATCTCTCTAATATCCAACTCACTAAGTGTTCTGTGATTGATGGAATTCTCAATTGTGTCTGATGGTTGAGGAGAAGAGTTGTGGATGCTTTTATAGACGAGAGAAGAGGGCCACGATTGATTTGTAACGGCAGAAGACAAATCCCACCCATCATGGTCTTTTATTGCCTTCAACGTTACAAATCAATTACCATAAAATCACCTTAATACCATGATTTGAATTACCCACAATTTAATTAATTAAAATAAAGATTAGTGGACCAAAAATTAAAACGTTTTAAAACGTAAACTAACATTCTCCCACTTGGTCCACTGAATCGATTTAAGAAACATAAGTTTAAAAAAAAAATACTTGACTCGGTGGGTTCTTCATACAAAACATTTGACACGTGATCACGATTTTTAAAGAAAATTAAGGTGATTACCATAACAGGTAAATAGAGTACTTTAATACTAGAACTAGTTTGAGTTATTAATGTGAATCATAGCGGTTATATGATTCATTCATCATATTCCCTTCTATGTATCACACCACTAATAACCCTTACTATTCTAATCCATAATAGCCCCTTTAATTTTGTCTTGTTAGGACAAATCCTGTTAAATCCAAATATAATATGTGCACACATAATAGGAAACATGAAAAACAGAAACATTTGATTAAATAAATTAAGTGTCAATTACATAATCATAACTCATCAAATCATGGATTGCTCAAAAGACCCATTCTAATAACATGTTCCTCATATGTCTTTATAGGCAATCCCTTGGTTAATGGATCAGCAACCATAAGAGTTGTACTTAAATTTTCTATTGACACTTGTTGTTTCTGGACTCTTTCTTTAATAACCAAGTACTTAAGATCCATGTGCTTGGATCTACTTGAATACTTTCCATTCTTAGAGAAGAAAACGGCTGCGGTGTTATCACAATATATCTTCAAAGGCTTAGCAATTGAGTCAACAGCCTTAAGCCCTAAGATAAAATTTCGCAACCACAGTGCATGACTCGAGGCCTCAAAACATGCTACAAACTCAGCCTCCATTGTGGAAGAAGCAATAATACTTTGCTTTACACTCTTCCACGAGATTGCTCCACCAGCTAGTAGAAATACAAAGCCCGATGTGGACTTTCTACTATCTACACAACCAGCAAAATCGGAGTCTGAATAACCAATAACCTCTAATTGGTCCGATCTCCTATAAGTAAGCATGTAATCCTTTGTTCCTTGAAGATACCTCATAACCTTCTTTGCTGCTTTCCAATGTTCTATTCCCGGATTACTTTGATATCTACCAAGTACTCCCACTGCATAACTAATATCTGGTCTAGTATACGTCTGTGCATACATCAAACTTCCAACTGCTGATGCATATGGAATCAATTTCATTTTCTCCTTTTCCAAATCATTCTTTGGACATTGCTTTTCACTTAATTTATCACCTTTCGTGATAGGAGCGTTAATGGCTGAACAAAACTGCATATTAAATCTTTCAAGAACTCGATTGATATATCCTTTCTGAGACAAGCCTAACAATCCTCGAGATCGATCTCTAAAGATCTCTATCCCAATAACATAATTTGCCTCACCCATATCAACCATCTTAAAATTCTTGGAAAGATAATTCTTAGTTTCGTGAAGCAAACCAAGATCACTACTTGCTAGTAAAATATCATCCACATACAAGACTAAAAAGATAAACTTGCTCCCACTGACCTTTAGATATATACACTGATCAACAGTGTTTTCCTTAAATCCAAAGGAAGTAATGGTATCATTGAATTTTATATACCATTGTCTAGAAGCTTGTTTAAGTCCACATATGGATTTCTTTAATTTACAAGCCAAGTGTTCTTTTCCTTGTTTTGCAAATCCTTCAGGCTGGTCCATATAGATACCTTCATCTAAATCCCCATTCAGAAAAGCGGTTTTCACGTCCATTTGGTGTAACTCCAAATCATAATGAGCTACAAGAGCCATAACGATTCTAAGAGAGTCTTTCTTAGATACTGGAGAGAAAGTTTCTCTATAATCAATGCCTTCTTTTTGAGTGAAACCTTTGGCCACTAATGTGGCTTTAAATCTTTCGATATTGCCCTTAGAGTCACGTTTGGTCTTAAAGACCCATCTACAACCGACTTTCTTACTGTTCTTAGGCAATTCGACAAGATCCCAGACACCGTTATAGTCCATTGATTTCAACTCTTCATTCATAGCATCAATCCATTTATTAGAATCTTTACTTTTCATGGCTTGTGAATATGAAACTGGATCATTTTGAATACCAATATCAAAATCAGATTCTTGTAGATACACCACGTAATCATCGGATATGGCAGATTTCCTTTCCCTTTGAGATTTCCTCAAGGCTACCGGTTGTGGTGGTTCTACAGTATTGCCAATAATAACATCTTCATGAAGTGGTGAATGGAGTGGCGAATCATTTGTTTCAACCTGCTGTATAGGTTGAAGAGTACCTTCATCTTGAGGGAAATAAGATGGTAAAATATCCACCCTAATTTCCTCAAGTTCTACCTTTCTTGATTCAAGACTCCCACTAACTTCACCATTCTCTAAGAATTTGGCGTTTCCAGTTTCAACTATCCTCGTAGTATGGTTAGGACAATAAAATCTGTACCCTTTTGACTTTAGTGGATAACCAATAAAATATCCAGAAATTGTTCTAGGGTCCAATTTCTTTTCATTTGGATTGTATATTCTAGCCTCTGCTGGACAACCCCAAACATGTAAATGTCTTAAACTAGGTTTCCTACCTGTCCACAACTCGTAAGGAGTTGTTGGGACCGCCTTACTGGGAACCCGGTTTAAGATATACATAGCGGTTTTCAAGGCTTCATTCCAAAATGAAATGGGTACAGTTGAATTACTTAACATACTCCTAACCATATCAATGAGAGTACGATTACGACGTTCAGCAATTCCATTCTGCTGTGGTGTTCCAGGAATTGTGTATTGAGCACAAATACCACGTTTTTCTAAGAATTCAGCAAATGGGCCAGGATTTTGTCCCGACTCATCATATCTACCATAGTATTCCCCACCCCGATCTGATCGTATAACTTTAATTTTTCTATCTAATTGTCTTTCGACTTCCGTAACAAAGACCTCAAGCATGTCAACGGCTTTAGATTTTTCATGAATTAGATAGAGATAACCATAACGAGATAGATCATCAATAAAGGTGATAAAATACTTTTCTCCACTAAAACATGGAATATGTAGTGAGCATATATCTGTATGGATTAACTCAAGAAGCTCTTTACTTCTTGTGGCACCTCTTTTATTGTGTTTGGTTTGCTTACCCTTAATGCAATCAACACACATTTGAAAATCAGTAAAGTCTAGATTTTCCAAAATTCCAGTTTTTACCAATCTTTCGATTCTTTCCTTGGAGATGTGCCCCAAACGTTTATGCCACAAGATAGAAGAATTTTCGTTATTTAGGCTTCGCTTTACGCCAACTTCCGAATGAGTGGTTAATAATGATTGTTCAAACTCATGATTCAAAGATATTTTATATAAACTATCACATAGAATACCGGAACCAATTATTATTAACTTAAACATAAAACTGAGTTTTCCACAACCAATTAAAGCTGAATAACCACACACATCCAGTTTTGACAAAGAAACCAAATTCCTAGAAAACGAAGGTACATAAAAAGTGTTTTCAAGATCCATCTTATGACCCGTCTCTAATATGAGGCGATAAGTGCCAACAAACGCCACTTTAGATTTGAGATGGTTCCCCATATAGATGTACTTTTCAGTTTCCTCCGGTTTCCGAGTTGTAATGAATCCCTGTAATGAATTTGTGATATGAGTTGTAGCACCAGAATCAAGCCACCAAGTGTAAGAAGGAACTTCAATAAGATTTGATTCATAACATACAAAAGAAAGATGAATACCTTTCTTTTCGAACCAAGCCTTACGTTTCTCACAATCCTTCTTTACGTGTCCCTTCATGTTACAAAAGTAACAGGTGACAACAAAAGCCTTTCCATGACCCTGACTACTTTCACCAGGTTCATATCTTTTGTTTGGTGCGAATTTCTTTCCACTCTTCACAAATTTCCCTTTCTTCTTCATACTTCCATGAGTTACAGCCAATGCAAAGTGATTTCCTTCCTACTTTAATCTCACTTCCTCTTGAATACACATACTAGTCAGCTCATTCAAATTTCACTTATCTTTTTGAGTATTATAGTGGATTTTGAATTGGCTGAACTTTGATGGAAGTGAGTTAAGAATAAATTGCACAAGGAAGGACTCTTCCACTTTCATGCCAAGAGCTCCAAGTTTGGCAGCCTTATCAGTCATATTCAGGATGTGTTCCTGAATTCCTTTATCACCACCATATTTCATGGTAGTCAATTCAGCCATGAGTGTCCCTGCTAACGACTTGTCCGCTGATTTAAAGCATTCTTTAATAGCCGTTAACAGTTCCATAGCATTGTCAACCTCGGGAAGAGAAGTCTTAATGTTATTAACAACGGTCATTCTAATAAGCATAAGACTAAGCCTATTGGACTTGGTCCAGGCTTCAATTAGGCTAACTTCTTCCTCACTGTTAGCATCCGTTATTTCCCCAGGTTTTTCAATAAGCAATGCTGGTCCAAATCCATAACACCCAAGGTGAATTGAGTTTGTTCATAGCATTCGGAGAAATTTGACCCACTGAGAGTCTTAATACCAGAAGCATGCGAGTACAATGAAGTAGGAATAGCAACTGAAATAAAAATAGCAAATATAATAAGGTAAAGATAAAAGCATGCTCACATAAGACCTTGAGTCAAATAAGATGAACTATAGATATCACTACAAGTTCGCCTTTGGGTGAAATACAGCATACCTATTGTTCACTCTATGTTGGTGTAAATGATCGTTTATAACACCTAAGTAGGGTCTACCATAATTTGTCTCACTCGTCAATTATTCATGTTACCTTTAGGTAAACAATTCTAATTGCTAAGTAATACAAATTATGATACCCTACCCAGTTCATAATTTATTAAAACCGACTATCCTTTGAGCTAGTCTCAATTTCTTAATTATATTATGACTGCAATTTGAGAATATTATAATCTTTAATATCATGTAAATGATTAAACTTTCATATAGTTCTTATATTTATTAGATTTTACTAATCTAGGTCACTTTAGCAACTACAAGATTAGTAAATTTGCATAAATATAAAACTAATAATATTCTCGTTATTTTACTTGAGTGATATAATAATAACAGTAACAACACATTTTCCAGAAATAACAAAGGTAATTTACTGCATAAATTATTAACATAATGCACATATATGCTTAATAATCTAAATCACATAAGCTCGGTGCACAAAACTGCATAAATGTGCTGTATAATTTTTATTGGTAAGACATGATTATATCATCAATAAAATATTTAAGATATAATTGTTGTGTAGATATATACATACAAATACATATGCAGCAAATCACATGTATAAAATAATTATATGTAATTTGTTTCTATACGCATATACATGAACTTCAAGTGAGTGTGAGACCCACATATTCAATACACACATCACGCTGTACACATATCACACATACATCACTCTGTACCATATATATATAATATAAATTCAATCAACAGCCATAAACATATATAATACTGGATGGGAACAGACTAAGTTTTGATAGTCACGAAATTGTGGTTTTCGGATTTTTTAGAAACAGAGAAAAGTCGATACAATTATATAACAAAATATTCATATAATAATTAATTTTAAGTTCTAAGATGAATCCATTTCAAAACCCTGCTCTGATATCAATTGAAAGACTTTTATTTAATTTTATGCGGAAAACTTTAATCACAGAATCTTGAAATCAAATTCATCTTAAGAATATAATCACGTAATAGAGATTATCGACATACCATTCGCCATGGATTCCGATAGAGATGATGAACGATAGCAATCTACAAGCCGAGCCTAGCCGAGGCCTCCTTCGATTCTCCTCGAGAACTTTATTCGTAGCACACCTTCTTCTCTCTATCTCTCTAATATCACAACTCACTAAGTGTTCTGTGATTGATGGAATTCTCAATTGTGTCTGATGGTTGAGGAGAAGAGTTGTGGATGCTTTTATAGACGAGAGAAGAGGGCCACGATTGATTTGTAACGGCAGAAGACAAATCCCACCCATCATGGTCTTTTATTGCCTTCAACGTTACAAATCAATTACCATAAAATCAACTTAATACCATGATTTGAATTACGCACAATTTAATTAATTAAAATAAAGATTAGTGGACCAAAAATTAAAACGTTTTAAAACGTAAACTAACAAAGAGAGCTTGGACATTCGAGGATGATGCTCCGACTTTGGATCCGAAGGAGAAGAAGGGTTGGACGCCTGAGGTCGCCGCTCCGACCCCGGGGAGGCCTCGGATCCTTGTTCCGACTCGGTTTTTGACACTCTCGACGATAGCTTGGCGGTGAAGAAGGTTCTAAGATTTCCAACGGAGTTTGATATGTCCTGACTTTCGTCGAAGTCTTGAAGAAATGATGGGGGGATGGGAGGAGATCTTTCTCGGGTTAATGATGCGTTATCGCTTCATTATTATATATATATATATATATATATATATATATATATATATATATATATATATATATATATATATATATATATATATATATATATATATATATATATATATATATATATATATATATATATATATATATATATATATATATATATATATATATATATATATATATATATATATATATATATATATAGATCGATAGTATGAGAGATATATAGAGAGAGACAGAGAGTGAGAGAGAGTGAGAGAGTGTGAGAGAGAGATATATCTCTCTCTATATCTATATGAAAAAGAATAAGAGGAAAAAATATAGTAATAGGTAAAAAATAGAGAAGTGAGGGGGTTTTTGGGAATTTT